ATTCAGCCTTGATAATGGATGCAGAATGCATTCGAAACGCGTCGGCCAACTCATATATATATGTATGTAATGACATAAATATCTTCAATACTATTAATTACATTAATTTTTAATAGGCGATTAAAATCATCACTATAAAACAATAATGAACTTAATATAAAATAAGCATTAAAAATATTTTAGTAGAGTTTCCATTGTCAGTCATAGTTGTTACCTTAAAGTCATAGCAGATAATGCCTGTGGTAATAGCTTCCAAATGCATTGGGGATATTCCATCTATCAGACAAAACCAAAACCCTGATGTTAAACTAGCCAACAAACATGGAAAATCAATTAAGGGTATGGAATTGAGTGCTTACACCCACAATGTTTCATCTCCTCCTGCCTTTCACTGTATGCAGCCAGTTGTAGGAAGGCAGTTACCCTTAAAATTTCTTATAGTACCTAAAATAGAAAATAAACCGCCTTAAAATTTCTGCTATATGAAACTCCCAACCTCCACCCTTACAAAAGAAATAAAACCAAATAACCGAGCTGAAAAGAAGAATTCATTTTCTCAACAGTGTTCTAAAGTAACTGAACCAGCCTGTGTGGACTTTGATGAAAAGAGACAATTATTTAAAGTTCTGGGTACAACTGTGGTAATTAATTGTGATTTGTTTAATATATGTTATTTTAAAACAAGTGGGCTGTGTGCTGTTTGTTTATTGTTGAAATTTATTGCCATCAAGTCACAGGCACCTACTGTAAAGAATCTGGCCCATACAGAAAAACTGACACTAATTTTAACAAATTGTAAATAAAAGAGGTAAATGAGGACAATATTTGATGTGTATAAACAAGTCTCTCTAACTAAATATAATTGAGATAATGTAAGAGCACTTGAATTGGCCATCTCTGTTTTTTTGCCTTAAGATAGATTCTTTATACTTTTTTTTTTTAGAAATTGTCAAATCGGATGAAGTTTTAGTTCAAAGGACTTTTAATTAGTAAGACTATGAGATTGATGTAGCTTATTGTTGCTTCTTTAATTGTTATGCCAGTAATATGTTCATAAAATTTGTTGTTTAAAGTCAGTATTATTACAAAATTGTATATATTTCTTACTTAAAACTTTAATTTTATGTTTTAGAAACTTCAAGGTTACAAAAATAATTACTGTGTTAACAGAAGCAATATGTTAAGTAATCTTTGTAGAATGTGGGTCATACTCTGAAATTCAAACGTGAACTATTTTACATAAATATTGGAAGTGTTGTTCTAATTAAAGACTTTGTTGCTGAGTTGAATAACCTTTTAAACATGATTAAAGTACACTCATTGATAACTAATGTGTAAGTGGCCAGTGATGATCATTTTAAAATATGTTAGAATTATATTGCTTGAACTGAAGGATAAAACAATTAACTTCTCACTAGTAGAATATGAAACTGATTTTCCAGGAGACAGTTGGCTGTATGTTACCAGTGTATTGTTTAATAATTTATTCTTTGCTTTTCAACAAAAATATGGATTTTTGTCATCTATGCTTGTTTGCTATGAGGTTGCAACTGACTACTCTAAGAAGACTACTCCTGGTCGTAGGACCTTTATCTCCTCTTTCTCCTGAGCAGCACCGGTAGCAATTATGTACATATTGATTGTCTTGTTGCTATGAGCGGTTGCACTCCAAATGAGGCATGAACTTTCTAAATGTGTGATTAGTGTCATTACATGATGTAGTGGTTGGGAATAGCACTTAATGAAATGCAGTTTGCAAATAGTGTGTTAAGATAAGTTTTTAGAAGTCTTCATACTGTAAAGACACTTATAATGTTATATTGTAATTGGATAAAAAAGAATGGAAATTAGTTGAAATGTGAAATTATACTGATCGCAAGATTTTCTAGAACGCAATTGTGAAGTACAGCAGTAGCTCTTCAAAACTTAAATTAGGGGAAAGTTAAAATAAATAAGCAATTTGACTAGTAACTTTGTATCATTAAGATCCATAAACTTATGTGATTAAAGAAGTTACTGTAAACCTATGTTCATCAGTGTAACATTTTTAAGACTTAGTTTGTTTTTCAGTATATAAGTTAAAAAAATATGTATTTCTTCAGATCTAATAACTTATCTAACTTCCTATGGTATAGCTTAACAGTTATAATTAGTTGTCAGAAAAGAGAGCAAAAACATTAATTTTAACACAATTTGCTGATGGGTGTTCTAGATTCTAATATAGTGACCACTGACAACTTTCAGTTTGGCTTTCTTAGTTATCTGTAGAATGGTGAAGAATAGGAAGAGAGTGACAGATGAATTTTTGTAGCAGTGTATTTATTTTTCAGAGCATTAACTTTGGTGACATAACAAAGCGACTTGAGCTACGAGACAAATTGAAATGCAAAGATTTTGGGTGGTACTTGAAGAATGTTTATCCACAAAAATTTATAGTGGATGAAAATGTTTTTGCTTTTGGAAGAGTAAGTTTTTTATGTTTCTCGTACGTGAGATTTTCTTAGAGAAAAATGTTACATGCATGTTTGTGTTTAATGAAACTGAATAGTGTAAATATTGTGTGTATGTGAAAAATATAACTTGAATTTTTGATAAGTGTGGTGTTTAGATATTATTTTGCTAAGTTTTTTATTACATATATGTACTCTTAAACTGTATTTAATAATTTAGTGAAACAAAATATTCATTTCTCAACCAAAAAATTATCTTGAATTAAATTGCTTAAATCAAATTTAAAATGTTCGATGATATGAGCTGAGGATTTTTTGGTACTATATACCACACTTAGCTGCATGATACTTCTTCAGAGATTTAAAAATTGTCTAGTTGATTTTTCAATGGCAAACAGTGTAAATCCTATTTTTTGGGTAGTGGATAATTTTTGTGATTGATAATTATAAACCTAATAATGAAAAATTCCAAGTAATTTTGAAAGAAACTGAAAAAGTTACATTGTAACCATTTGATCTGCTTAATTTTTTTAAACACACAAACACTGGTTTGTTTGATTTGAGGCTTTCTTATTTAAGTTAGGGGTTTTTGCTTTCAGTAACATAACTGCAAAATTGTTATTTGTTAAAACTCATTTGTAGCATATAAATTAAATCTTGATATGATTCAGTGAAAGATTTTACTGATATAATTTCATAATTTCAGGTGACAGAAATGTTTAGCTAGTTTCTACCAGACTATAATCCAGTGCCTATGATATACTTTCTAACTGATGTCAAAATAGAAACTAAAAAACATAGTATATTAAGTATAATGAATCAATCATTATAATGAGAAAGACTATGTGAGTTCATTAAATGAACTAGCAGTGAATTTAAAATTTTAATAATACCTGATATACTAACTGCTAAAAGTATTAACAAAACTTACATTTCACTCCATAGATAATATAGATCTTTGGAATTGTTATAGCTATTCACATAATGTACTGTCTAAATAACAAGTGAGTCTGTGGTATTGTAAGATTGAATTTGGTAATGTTACCTGTAACTGGTACAGGATAAACTGCATATCCTTTTAACTGAATTGTATCACTACAAAGCAACTGATGGCCAAATATATGTGAACTTCTACTTCAGAGAGCATATAATTGAGTGCCGTGAAATATTTCAATGATATATTTTTTATGAATATCATAATATTTATTGAAATATTTCATTTGATACACGTATTCCTACAACAAACCATGACAAAATATTTAACTTCATTATGATTTTATTAATGAACTGAAAAAATAAATTGTTAATGAAAATATCATGTTGAATATAATTAGACATTATAATATCATAGCAGTAGGAATACCGTATATAGTTTCTGTAAGTATTTTGGTAGAACTTGTGTTGAGTTATAAATGAAGAGAAATATGCCTCACAAGGAGACAACTTGTTTCTAAGCTAAAAAAAAAAGAATAGCACTCTAGATATGGCTAAATAGACAGATATTCTTTTGTGTTTGGCTTTGTCATTAGTCATATGTTTATATTTGTAAGTATGATTCATATTTATGAAAATATCTCTGTGTTTGAATTTTAAAGTTAGTGAAAATGATGTTTAGCTGTTTACATAATAGTGAGTACTTCCAGACAAGTGAACCAATGTGAATGATAAGCATTTATTTAATAGTCAGGTTAATGTGGAATTCAATATCTGTCTAATCAAATTATTTTTGTTTTTATTATAATAATTTAATTCCAGAAATTTTAAAATCTTGAATCTAAGAGTCTTTTGAATAATGTTAGGTACGTAACCCTACCACTAATCTCTGTTTGGATAAATTGAACCGAAACGAAGACAAATCAGAAGCTTTAGGACTCTTCTACTGTAACACCCAGATAGCATTTGTGATGAATCAGGTAAAAATAAATCTTATATTAAGTTAAAGAATTCTCAAGAAATACTTTACAAGTAATTTGAGGATTCTAGAATTTCAATTTTAGTTAAAAAAATACTCAAAATGTTAACTTTCAATATAATATACAATAAATTATAAACAAAGGTTTGTTATACTAAGGTCACAGTAAGTGTAACTAATATTATTATTTACATTTTTGAAAACTGGTTTTTAGGAGGTAGAAATGTAGTCAACAATAGAAGTAAAACTTCTAATGAACAAGGCATTATATGTTACCAGTAATTAAAACATCATTTAACCCAAGAACGCCAGCATTAGATTTTCAATCATTAAAACCAGGTTGGTATGTTTTAATGTTAGGAACAGTGTGGTATTTTTATAGCTTAATTAGGAAAAGGTATATGTTCTTTTCATATAGATTGATACATATACATAAACACATTTGATATCAGATTATTCTACTTAAAAATCAGCAGAGTGAAGCTTGTTTGAAGGATAGAGATGTACTGGTAAATTGTTGTTTTGACATAATGAAGAATTAACCGTTTTAGGAAAGAGATACTGATGGAATTGAAATTAAGTTAAAGCTTTCTTTAACTAAATATGTAAAAGCACTGCAACATTAAAATAATTTATTAGAAAGGCACCATGGTCAATGAACAACTCTCCATGTTTCAACAGTGTTCTACTCCACCATCACCAGGAGAAATGAATAAATTATAAGATACTACCTCACAATATATATATATCAGTTTTCAAAAATTAACTTTTATAATACCTGGATCAGAGTCCTTATTTAAAATAATATTTTTATTTTTAATAATTTCTAACAATTCTCTAATATTTAATATCATCTTTATAATCAATCTGATTAATAATGTTACGTCTCCGTTTAAAGTTATATTCGGAAAGAATAAACCAGTTTTATTAAGTAAGGACTTGTGTCGCTAAAGTTTCGTCGGAACGAAACGATACACTTAATTAAAAAAAGGTTAACACAGGTAAGTGCTATATTTCTTGTTTTTCTTAACTATTCTTTATTTATTATTATACAAGTACGTAAAAATGTAAAAACTAGAAGATTTTAGGCTAGATAAGGTTAAATTATGTAATATAAATGAAGATAATGAAAATAATAATAAAATTTCTCTACAAGGTAAGCTCGCGCATAGCACGAGCTTTATGTATCTTGATTAGTATAACACTTGCTTCATGTTACCGTGTGTTTTGAAACTTTTTATGGCGGGAATTTTAAAAATCATTGTCTAAAAGGCAATAAAAAATAAAATTTCATTAGAAACAGCGTCAGAGTAATTTCAAAGTGACACCCGCCGAGTGTTGTTAAACATTGAACACGATTGCAATCAACAACAACCACACCTGTTGATATTTATCGTAAAAATAACAAACAAACAAACAAAAACAGACAGCGGGCGGTTGCAATGTGGAAAGTCATCAATGGCCTAGGGACTGATTTTAGTGGTTGTAGAATGGAATAGGGGAGTGGTCGGCCTGGGGGAACTATTTTATAATGGTAAAGATAGGTACATTATCGGGACTGAAATATTTTGCCTGTAATGGGGAATGGTCTACATGGGGAGATGGTCGCTCAAGTAGAGTCCATTGTATTCAATAAAACTGTGTACTTATTCAAAAATATGTTACTCTGCATGGCTGAAAATATTGTTGCGTCAGCGAGATCACGTGACTATTCTCACGCCCTCTGCTTTCTAGAACTATCCTGTACCTTGGCGAATGCTCTAGCATTTACTAGATATAGGGTAGTCTGGTATATATAAAAAAGGGTGACAATGTGACAGAAGAAGGCGTGTGTATGTAATGAGTAATTGAACTGCAGTCAGAGAGAGACGTATTGTTGAAGTTAACGTTCGTTGCTATAGCGTTTGTTTTGGCGCGATTGTTGAGGTAGTGGACTGTCCTATTTTTAGCCCTAATACTTTAACCAATGCTACTAGTTCACAAGATATTTTTTTCTTTAAGTAAATAATGCACGGAAGAACACAGAATAATAACATGACAACAGCTAAAAAGTTGGGTATCTGTCAGAATATTTCTGACTCTAATCATGTGACTTGAGCAGGTAGAAATTCAACTTACCTCCCCACTACGTTCTCATGGGATTTTTTTTTCTCATCAGCTAAACTGTCAATTATCTGTAACATCACGTGGCATGAATCATATTGCAATCAATCAGTTGAAATCTAGGCTTTCTATTCGTTATACATTTAATAGGAAACGGCCACAAAAGAAGCCATTTGAAAGGGCTATGTTTTCACATATACTTTGATGACATTACCGTGACAAATACAGTGTGTATCAGTACTGCATCAGTCAATGAGTAAAACATCAGTTTATTCTGTTTCGATCACACATGAAATTTATTGTCAAACGCTCTTATAAATCTCAGTGACAGAGAAATTCTATTCCAAAATTACGCCAAAGGCAAAGTCATCTGACCGTGTTGAGCTATCACTGGCAGATAAAGTCAAAGTTATTCAGGCACATCATGTCAGCAATAAAAGCAGCGCAAATTAGCTGAAGAGTTCAATGTTGGCAAAACACAAATCCAGCAAATTTTGAAGCCTAAGGCTGAATATATGACAGCATTTGAAGAAAATCAGCCGTATTCACGAAAATGCATTTGTTCTAGATTTGTGAGTGATGACCTTGAAGCATCATTATGTTCTTGTTATAAATTTGAGTTTCCAGACCTATATTGCAAGAATAGGTATTTACAATAGCCACTACTCTGGGTCTTTCTGACTTCAAAGCATTGCCTGGATGGTTCACTAAATTCAAAGCCAGACATAATATTTCTCAATGTGTCAATGCCATGACAGTTGATCAATGGAATGCCAAATTGCCTGCTATTATAGAGGGATATGCACCTAAGTCATCTACAACTACAATATGGATGAAACTGGGATCTGGTTTCCCAGATAAAACGTTATGTGTAAAAGGTGAAAAGTGCGCTGGGGGTGCGATCAAAAGATAGACTAAGTGTTGCATTATGTTGCAATAGTGTTGGTGAATTTGAACATGCTGATGTGATCGGTAAAAGCACAAAACTCAGGTGCTTCAAAAATTTAATCATAAAGAGTGACTTATTCGTGGCTTCATACGCTAACAAGAAGGTGTGGATGATCAACACCATCTTCCAAGACTGGGTTACAGGCTTCAATAAGTACATGAAAGCACAGCATCGCAACATTGTTTTGCTGTTAGACAATGCCACTTTGCACAGTCAAGTGAATCTTAGCAATGTCAAAATTTTGTTCATGCCTCCCAATGCAACATCAGTGCTACAACCTCTTGACCAGGGTATCATTCGTGCATTCAAAGCCCACTACAAAAAGCGCCTAGTCTATTCTGTGTTATCAAACATGGATAAAGGCCTGTTGCTCACACATTTGATGAAAAGTGTCAGTGTGCTAGACGCTTGTGCTTGGACCAATTCCGCCATGCATTAAATCAAGGCCAGCACAGTATCAAAGTGACAACTGACAACAGTGAAGACGAAGACTACAACATCTCTTTGGCTCAACTGCTTAAAGACCATCTTCCCAATGTCATGACCGACCCCAATGAATATGTCGACCAAGACAACGACTTCCCGCCACCGAAGAGTTCTGTGACAACTGGGAAAAATAACTTCTCAATGACCTGAATGGTGACTGTCCCACTGAAAACAGCGACCTTGAAGACGATGATAGCGACCAGTCTACAGATGCAGAGGAGTGCACAATCAGTAAATGTTATAAATGCTGAAATGCATTGCAGACATGAAGAAGTTTGCACTAAAAACTCAGCACTCACGAAAATGATGGACAATTTAAATAACGTAAAAGATGTTGTTCAAAGTGAAATCGTTAACACTATGTAAAAAACAAAACAAAACAAAAAAAAACAATCCAAAATCACCAACTTTTTTGTGTAATAAAATATATAGGCACACATGTTCTGTAATTAAAATTTGTAAAATACTTTGAATTATGAAAATAAAGACAATAAAATAGAACATATTCGAGAATTATTAATAATTTGGTTATACAATATGCAAAGAAATAT